TAAATCCATTCATTTATTTCAAGAGGTATTCACATTTTTTTTATTATTGCTTTTTTGTTGTGAATTTAAAATCACAACAAAATGTATGCAAGCTTTAAATGTGGCCGCTTAATTTTCTTCATAGAGAACGGTCATATCACCAAAATAAATCGAAAGCAACTCTAAATCAGACTCAGAGCTGATTTCGTTAAATCATTAGCGGTTTTCTAATTTCCCTACTCTCTCTGGGCACACTGCACATATTTTAGAGAGCAGCTGCTCCCAGCTGTTCGACGATAATAATTTCAAAAGTCTGACTTTTAAACGTCAATTTGAAAATCGGCTTGTTATAAAAATTAGTGGGTATTAGAGTAAATATACATATATATATATATTTTTTTTTATGAGACAGTGTATATCGTAGATTCTTTTTAATTAAATTAACCATTTCAAATTGATTAATTGTAAAAGTCATGAATACATAAGAACATTTTTTTGTTTTATACACGAAATTTGAGTTTACACAACAAAAATTGTTAACAAATCAGTCAATTTCTAACAGAAATGTTTAAAATTTAAGAAAATATAACGTGGTCAACAGTACCAAATGAGGAAGTTGCTTGAGATGATTATCGATAAGACTAGAAGATGGGCAGTTGAAAGTTCTGGTCTACCAATCAGCCATTAAAAAAACTGTGTATGTATATATGGTATATCTTCGGTTTAGGTCCCCTACATAAAGGACCATATATTTTGGATTTTTTGGGTATTACGGGATGAAAAATAGTCTTATTTATTTCTGTTTACTTAAGGCACTTTACCAACACAATTTTTCTAATAAAGTAGGCATTTGAAATGAATGGCACCATTTTAAAAAAGTATTGTGCATCTTATTTGTTGATTTATAAAAATTTAAATTGGATTTTGCGATAAAGAAATTGAGTACAAAGCAACAACTTGTATGTTTAGCGATCTAAGTCTAATCTACCTTTACCTATTAAATAGGTGAAAAAAGTCAAGTACTTGTATCAAAAATAATGTTTGAGCAAGTTTCTATTCAGTGTATAAGTTTATGTACGCACGTATATATATATAGATATACATATACACCACAGAACATACATCAATTGATAACTTACATATACAATTATTAATAAATATTATGAATTTCAAAATTATATCAACTAAATGCATTGTTACTCCTACTCCTGTTTCCTAAGTTTTATCTGAATCCCTTGGAAATGGGTAAAAATTGTCGTTTCACGAGCTGAGATGAGATGAGATGAGGTTTTATTGATATTTAGAAGAAGGTTCAGGGTATCTCCCATTAGGTCAAGAACACTTTTTTAAAAACCTTTCATTCAAGTAGATATTATACGGCATGAAACAGGTAATCAAATTAAAATTGTACGTAGTTCTTTAAATTCTAGTAAATTAGTATAACAAAAACACTTGGTGACTGTTTTAAGGTTTTTTTTTTTTTAAATTAAGTTATTGCCTTGGCCTTCTGTGCAAATTTTACAGTAAGTCATAGTCATATATAGGAGCGTAATGGCGTATATATAATTTTCAACGGGTTAGACCTGGCCTGATCCCTTTATTTTGTACATTACATATGTGAAGCAAATTAATAAAATATATAAACGGAAAACAAACATAAATGGTTTTATTATATGTACGTGTTCAAGCCAACACAAGAGGAAAAGAGAGAGAGAGTGAGAGCGAGAGAGAGAGTGAGAGCGAGAGAGTGAGAGAGAGCGAGAGAGTGAGAGAGAGCGAGAGAGACTGAGAGAGGGGGGGGGGGGGGGGCGAGAGAGATGTATGAATGCAATGTAGCATATATTAGAAGAGTGTGGAATGCGCAAATTCGACTTACATTTTGCAAGCTAGAATCTGTGCCCTCGTCACTAAGTTTTTACTTAACCGAAAAATGTGGAATATTTTTGTATTAGCTTTCACACTAATGCAACTTGTTGATTCATTTACGCTGCAGACCGCCACCTGGACGCAGTATGGAGTTTGTTAGAGCTGGTATCTTGGCGGAACTCTTCTTCACCTCATCAATTGCATGAAGCATGCGTTGCGGCTCAGTTAGAAACCAAATCCACAAGAGTTTGCTATAGCGCCACAGCTTTTCTTTATCCTAAATTGAAAAAGCCAACTTTCAGAACTCTACGATGGCATGTTCCCTTGCTGACTTACCATGCGCTCTAAGATCTTTTCCTGAAACTGAGTGCGCAAATGGCGAAGCGACTCTTCAAAGCGCATCTGCTGCTGTGCGGCATCAAACATGGGGCATAAATACTGAATGTGCTCAAACATGGGTTGATCTAGAGGCGAGTTGTAGACGAAAGGGCTTAGCGTTTGCTCCAAACGCTTGCTGTAAAACATTTGGAACATGTCCTAGCTATATGAAAATAATAAATAAATGTTTTACTTACAGATCGGCCAGCTGCTCGTGCGCATGCGCCTGTGACTTTCCGCTCAACATGCTTTGCAAGGAGTAGGCTAAAAGACGGCCAAACTTTTCATACTCATACAAGCAGAGCTTAGCTTCAGCTGAGCGAATATTCTTCCCAAGGTGCGTGGACAGTTGACAAGCGATTTCGTGTAACAACGGTGCATAAGTGCCTCTGGGGCAGGAATTTAGCGAACGCATTGTTTGTATACGTTGCCAGCTCGCTTTCGCTTGAGCACAGAGACCTATGGAGCTGTCTGTACAGTTTCGTTTCTTTTCCAAGTCCAATTGTATAGCTATCCAAATAAGTTCGGCGTTGGATAGTGCATCGGATATGACACTTGTCAGCTGCTTGTCATTTTCGCGGCGACGCAGAGCGCGTTCCAATTTCTGCTTTGTGTTTTCGTACAGGACCAGCTCCATGCGTTGCTGTGTGTGCTGCTGTACGTGCGTGGCCAGAGCATTGACTAGAGTATCGTACGTGTTCTTTAGATGGTTTTCGTTGAGCAGTTGCAGGTCATGTGTTTCACGCACCATGTCAGCAAGGCAGATGCAGTGAATTTGATTCAGATCAATATGATCTGTCAGTGCTTGTGTGGCTTTTGCCTTGGCCTTTTCCTTTATATATTCGAGTGTATAATATTGAATCCTGTGCGTGTAATATAATTGTTTGTATTGTATTATTGTGTTTTATATTTGCATGTCTACTCACGAGTTTTGTAAATTTTCCAGCTTGCTGTTAAAATGTTGCACGTCCACTTCAGCGCTCTCAAAATCTATGAGCTCCTGTATTTTGAAGTTTTCCTTCATATAGAGAGTAAAATACTGCATGAATGAGTCGCATTTAAGGAAATATTGGTCAAGCGGCATCTGGTGCATGAATAGCGGCGGCACTTGTGGTAAGGTGAAGCCCTTGTTGGTATCTTCACTGAGCTTACAGTTCTCCCGCTGCAACTCCTCTAATTGGCGTGCTTTGGCTTGGCACTCGACTAACATTTCCCTTTCCGTATTATGCAGCAACAGTATTGTAGACTCTAGCTCACTCAGCTTGCTGATGATACTATGCTTTGTGTTCCTTTAACGAATGATAACTGTAGTTCCTATTCTAGATGGTCGCTTTGTAGTTGTTAATAAAAGTTGCTTACTGCATTTCGTCGATTAGTGTGGAATAATCATTGGTTGCCTCCTCAATTACTTCCACCGCTGCAGCAAGCGTTTCTACATCCTGATTCGTATACTTGAGCAGCCCAGGATTTTCAGATTCTATCTGCTGCAGCTTCAAAATCCTCTCAGATTCCTGTAGCCATTCGCCGCGCTGCATCATTTCGTCACGCTCCAATAACTCCCGTGCTGTGAGAATATTGGAGTCGGTCACATTCTCCGACAAGAAATTGAAAAATTTTTCGAACTGTTCGTCGTAAACTATCCATTGATTGGAGCTGTCGACGCCCAGTTTCTTAAGCATCTCCGAATTCTAATGGAGAAACAATATCTTTTTTAATATGATCCTAGTAGATCTTAGTTACTTACGTTCAGCAAATCGCCCATCATCAAGAAGCGAAATACAGATAATTTAACACAATTAAATAGATTCTGCTGCCATACGCAGAGCACTGCATTAGAGACGCCGTGCAGGTTAATTATTAGGTTTAGTTTAGGCAAAGAAGTGATTATATTTTGTTAAATTTTAGTAGTTTTGTACAAAAAATTGATTTTCGGTGGCGGGAAACCTATAATTGTCAACAAAATAAATAATTAAGAAACAAGACGTCGTGCGTACAGTGCCAAAATGAGTTGACTATCGATAAAATTATGGGTATTTCAACTCTATATATCGATTAAGATAAGTACATTTGAAAAACGATTATTTCTCACTTTGTATGTTAAAATTTAAACGATTGAAGATTTTGGACAAGTTCATATAGCTCTACAGAAGGAATCGATTTTAACCAAAATAAATTTTACGAAAATAAAACGTGCAAAACATTGGAATGAGCGTTTTATAATTGCCGACTATCGGTTAAACTTCATGAAAAACAGATGATATAAATCACACACTGAACTAAACAACGAAAATAAGCTGGGATGGCGGCACCGATAATTGTTCAGTATTATCCTTAAATAAGATGGTCCACATGAGTCGGGCTTTGGCTTAATAATTTAAGAATTTAATTATTTCTAAATATTTTAAGCAAAAGTACACGCGTCTCTAAATCTTATCGATATCCGACTAAATTATGCACATTTGTATATTGAAGTGCTTTCGATAGTGACATACTATCGTCTGTTAGGTGTTTTACCGATTGGCCGCACCTTTTCCTATTCTGTGCAGTTTATTTACTCATTTGGTACTGTTATACTAATACATTTAAAATTACATTTTTCTTGGCATTTTGGATATTATTCGAAACCGGAAATTGATTTCTTGTGCAAAACTAAATATATTAAGGCAGAACCCTCCTTTTTTTTGGTCGTTATAAATCTGAACTAAATGTTTAACGAAATATAGCAATCCCAACTTATGTGAACTCTACTTTTCCTATCGGAACCAAGCTTAGAAAAGTCCATTTAAAAAGCAATTTATTACTTATTGACGATGTCTTAAGCCTTTAGTGTACTTAAAGGCACAGATATGGCACGCAAAAAAAAGAACCGCTAGGCAATGTACATACATACGGACATATGTATAAAGTGTGCTATGCTACTTAATCAAATGAGCTTAAAACTATTCCAGACTTTCTGTCGTTTGTGAAAATGTTGGTCTCATACAAAATGTGCAAATGCTTACGCGCTCCGGAACTCTGTTGCCATCGTTGCCGCACTTGTGTTCCCACTTTTGCCGCATGCACGGCTGCCTGTCAGTTCCTGCAGTGGAGATGTTGATAATTAGATAAGGCTTTAAAAAAGTCAATTAATGAACCACAAATGTCCTTGCCTGCGTGCAATGTGCTGCGGAGATGTGTGATATAGCTGCTGGCCAAGTGTATTATTTCTATTTTGGATAGTTTGCGGTTTACGGGCTCCGTCGGAATTAGGCCGCGCAGCTCCTCGTATGCAGCATTCACGCTAAAGAAAAGTGTGTGAAACAATTCTCAGATTAATCGTACTGTACTGTTAGTGCAATGATGACCCACTTGAAAGTACGATGCCGCTCCCGAGCGTTGATCTTCTGCCTGGGCGCTGCTTGCGGCTTGCGAGAATGGCAAATGAGTGAGTCCTCCGAATCAGCGCCGACATTGCTGCCACTGCCATTGCTGTCGGCGTTGCCAAACGACGATAGAAGATATGATGAAAATTCAAGCACCTCACTGGCATTGATGGCAATGTCCATGTCCATGTCCATATCCATATTCATATTTAATATGCGCATGAGTGTGCCTACATATGTGCACTGTATGGTACCCAGAGTGCGAATGAGCCGACGGAAGTGAAGCAACCTCTTCGGTCAGCTCGACGCGCTGATTGTGGGCTGCTGTTAAAAAAATTAAGTCATCATCGTCGCAAGTGACGACAAATTGTGCATGAACAGCAGCACCCAGGCAGCAATAAATAAAACGATACAACAAAACTAAATATCCCAACAGTACTTATGCGCACTTGTCAAAACAAACGCAATTCTCCTTTCTCCCTCTTTCGCATGCGTCCGTGTTCGCAGATTGTTCGTCTCGCACTACCACACAAGGCGCGTGCGGTTGGCCCTGAAGCTGCGCCGCCGCCGCCGCCGCCGCTGCCGCCGACGACGTCGACGCCTGCACAAGCGTTTAAATTGTAAAATTTTAATTGCTCGTAAGCCGCTTGCAATGGCGCGTCGCAGGATAAGCAACCGCAAATTGCTGCTTTATAATTTCAATTTTCATTTCAGTATATTTTAATTTAGCTTCATCATTATGCGCTCGTCGATCTACGCTGACCATCATCACTAACTGCAAATATCATATCTTTGCCTGCTTTCCAGTCCGGAACGGAAGTGGCACTTAGGTATGCTTCGATCCCATGCAGTGCGTAACTGCATCTTTTTTTTTAAGTACTTTGAATCGAAGCAAACTAACTTTGCGATGTTTGCCTAGTACAAGAAATCTGGATACGATTCGAATTTAAACTTTTTCAAAATATTACTTTAGAATACACTTGATTTACGCCTTTAGAGTTAGAGATTATATAATATGAACGAGTATTCCCCGGCCATGCCTGTACTTTTAATTTTAGATATCACTTAATCACCCATTTTACATGTATTGTATTGTATCTGTTACCAAACCTACTTTTTATACCCTTGTAGAGGGTATTTAGTCACGAATTGTTGGTATTAAATTCAATAGAATGTTAATATTTTCAACTAACATTAAGAGTCACTCAAATAGCCAGGCAAATTGGTTTCATTCATAATCCAATAGCTGACATGGAAACATTAACAATTAACAAAGGAGATCGTAGTAGTCCCGTGCGACCGACAGAGCAATACCCTGGTCACAGTGCAATTACCTTTCATAGCAGCCGAAACAAGTAAGAATGCTCCTGTCTGGAATTGCGGGGATATTCCTGAAAACTCCTATAACATTCTTAGGGCTTGTGTTGTGAGTAGCCAAATACTATATCACTAAAAATGGGTGTTTTTCAATTTTCGGTGAACGTATCCACTTGGAAAAATGAAATATTAAATTCTATGAACTGTACACTGAAAAAATCGATCACTATTAACTTGAGTTAGGTAAGGGATTAAAAATTCCCTAAGAGGTAAATGCTTAGAAAATATATTTACAAATTTTAAAATAGGCACGTTTTTCTGAAGTGTAGGACAATTACATTTTTTGCTAAAATTTGTCTATTTTTCACTAATTCTGGGTTGTTTGAATTCTATTAATAGCATTGAAATTGCGATTGTATTTAGTTTTTTTCTCATTAAAACCCAATAGTTTGTGTGGATGTTGAGTAAAGGCGGCCGCAGTTTGTGGGGTCTGTAACAGTTTCTCAGGACAATAGAGGATATCTTTAGCCCATGGCGGCGTATGGTTTTGCTAATCTCGTAAGTGATCTATAGGAAAGTTAGTTTCTATTGAAATAAGCAGTTCATCTTCAAATGAAAGTAAAGCTTTTAAGGTAACGATTAATTTTATTCTACTTATTATTGAAGTGCTCTCATTATATTTTTCAGATATTGCTTATCATTGTATTCCTATATCGATTATAGGAATAGGAATCTTCAATGTCCATGATGTTCTTACCTTCCTTCTGTCCCCTTATTTTTCTACGCTATATATGTATGATTATGGGGTATATATATAATGTACACAGATCAAGTATTTTCAGTTTTAATAAAAAAATAAAAACTAATACGATATACTGCAGAAATTCCATCAGGTTAGATTAAGAAACACAGAAGTTATTGGCATACTCACGCGCTCAATCTTTTTCTAATTATTTTAATTGAATTTCGATTGCAATTGCATTAAAGACTGTGTTGTGTATATGTGCATGTATTTTAATGAAGCTTCGGCTTTGGACTCAACGCGAACAGTCCCATTCTATTGCAGCTTACAAAATACAAAACCATTCTGAAAGATAGGTCCACGACCATAGCAGAACATTGAGTGCCTGTGCTTGATGTGCAAACAATTAAATTATTTATTACGTTCAGTAATAAATAGTTAAACAAACAAGAACAAACTAAGTAATACGCCTCACCTGGGCCTGCACTGCAGCGACGAGATTGACTAATCGCAAGTTAGCTTTTGTATTTTTCGGTCCGGTTAGTGTTACCTTCGCCCGAGAAAAAGCGACTTTCAATTTTGCAGTGCGCTTACAAAAACAGCATAAGCATGAACTCGGCTCTGCCAAAGACCCGTCCGCTGGCAGCAACGCCCACTCCAATACCAGCAGTTCAAAAGCCGTCTCTACTACAGCTTCTACCTTCACAACTGACACAACGGTTAACAGCAAAACACACAGCACCTGCAATAGTGCAGCGCAGCTCGATTTGAATCAAATGGCGTGGGCAGCGCCGCCGCACCTGCGAAGGGGCATCAAGCAGTCCTTACCGACGGACTAACTGATTGGCCATAAGAGCCTTATAAGCTGGAGATGCATGCTAATATGCGGTTTGGGTAATTCCACCCGAAATGTGGAAAAATCGACTGATCAATCTGAATAGTAATAACATCATTTTCTAAGACCTTTGATTAAATTCACCTGAATGGAATTTTTTTACATAATTTACTTTACTTTTATATACAATCTGAATGAATTTCAGACGTGTTTCATTATTTTAATTTATTTTAAACCCTCTGGAAATTCCACCCACAATTGTGGTAAAGGTTTAAATTTCGTCCGATCGGGCTCGTTTTGAAAGCCCTAGTGACCGTGAATTCTCAGCAACAGTGTTAAATTTAAGAAAAAGAATTGAATGACAGTTATTTAATTACCATCTGATAACAAATGTATGATAAATGCGGATAAAGTGTTTGAGTTTGAGATGGAATAGGTTGATTGAGTACAGGTACAAAATGGGTGTAAAACTTACATCTAAAACACGCTATGGCTACCAATAGAATACAGGCCACAAGAGTGCCACCCACTTACCCTTACCACGACACCAAGGCTTCCCAAATAGAATCTAAAGTTTGACACCGATGACGACATGACGTCAATCTCCTCGGAGGTGAAATAAGAAACTTACACATTACAACAAACGTAAGAGGTTCTAGTCGGGAGCTCCCGACTTGAGGATTGCCTAAAGCAGCTTGTGCTGCGAGCTCATTTGCTTTAGCAGTAATATCAAAAAAAATAAAACATAAATGTTTAGTTTCCATGATAGTAGTCGAACTCGTATCATGAGATAATACGTTGTGCGAACCATCATAATATAATTTTCACTGGAACTTGTTTAAGACAATTGCAATAAAGTTGTGACTGTAATTGGTGGATAAGTGCAATGGGTTTTGATTTATTTTATAGCTTTGTTGTGTAGGCGGAGAGTGGCAGTATTTATAATATGAAAGGTTTTTTATATATATTTATACTATTCAGAAAGCAACATGTCAAATTTGTTGGATCTAGCTCTAATAAAGACCGAGATTTGCTTGAAAATCAGTTTTTCGATATTCCATTCAATGTTTCGATTATCGTAAGGAGGCGGACCTACCTTCCAAATTGTATGTGTCTGGCTTTAATAGGTTATGTGATCCCTGCGTTCATACATACGAACGGACGGACAGACAGTCTGACTTGGCTGGATCGGGTCGGCTTGTGATGCTGATCAAGAATATATATACTTTATGGGGTCGAAGATGCTGTCTGTTACATACATCTGCAAAAATACAGTATACTCATTTTACCAATTTTAATGGGTGCAACCGTATTATTGTTTAACTATTGTTTTGTGAGTGTTCTATTAATCGCTAACCTATCACATTTCGGATATTGACTCACACAGGGCCGGATGCACATTTGGGCCACAGATCGAATCGCTCAAGTGGTTCTAGCATATGGGTGCACTCGGGTGCATATGGGTAACTCGGTATGCACCTTATGCACAGTATGCACCTGGTCTTGTGCGAATGTATGTAAGAGGCAAAAGGAACCATCTCCGGCTGCATAAAGTATATATATTCTTGATCAGCATCAATAGCCGAGTCGAACCGATCTAGCCACGGTCTCTCCGATCGTCCATCTGCCCATCGACAAAAACGGATATTTTATTTCTGTTTTTTGACCATGTATCTTAGGTATTAAGAGTAAGTGTCTCTTAATTTGACCAATAGTTTCAGGTATAGTACACACATTGATTAAAATAATTAAACTGAAATTAATACTCTACTTTTTTTTTTCAAAAACAATTTGCAATTGATGGCCACAACATAAAACAGCGAACCACGTTAATGTTAGCCAAGCGCAAGATTTTCGTTCAACTTGTTGTTCTACAAGTCAAATGTTTGCATGGCGTTGCGCCATGAGGCGATGGCAATCATTTTGCTCGTCTAATGAGATGGCGAGTTCTAGAGCAGCGGAGAGGATTTTAAGTGGCTTTAAAGTTTTTTCAAGTGCACTTTTTGCAAGCGAGCGTGAGTTCCTCTGGTTTAGGGTACGTCCGGACGGGCATACCCGACTATATTAATTGTTTACATCAGTTGTATTTGAAATGAATTATTTTGGTTAACTTGGCGTTCTACTAAGTATTAATCTTTTACTTTATACTTTGCTTTTTTCTCTATTTTGCCTATTATTCAGCAATCAAAATAATTTAATGTGTTTTTTAAGTGAACATTTTTATTATATATACATGTAAAAATTTACTTAAGTTGTTAAAAATCATAGAAACACATTTTCTTAAGGGTAAATAAAAAGGCATTCGTTATAAACAGTTTGTTTTTAAAAATAATTGTATGTATATGGATAAACATGAACTGTTTTCAATAGTCAATAAATTTTGATTTCTTTTAATTTTGTGTATGTTTTTGTATGATGGATTGGCGCTTTTTTGAGCAACAAGTTGTCATAAGGAATGAAATAAAGCAAGACATGTGTATTATAAAAATTTGTATATTTTTTTTTACTTCGACTATATAATATAAGATTTTAAAAATAATAGTAAATAAAACACCACAGTCATGATTTTTATAAGTGAACAAAAACATTTGTATGTAGGGACATTTTTGGAAAATTGCAAATGTTCGTAGAGTTTAAGCAAAATATTTACAAAAGAGAAGCCACAGTAAAAGTAAGAGAAAAATATAAAGCAAAATAGTTTTGCATTAGTCGTTTGTTTTGATTTGATCGTGTTTTTATATGTCTGGGTATTTTCATCGATTTTTATTCGTAAAAAAAAAAAAAATAAATATCAAGTGTTTTTTTTGTTTCTTTCGCTTTTTTGTATTGCAAATTTCTGATGTAAATTTTTTTCTACCTGCGCTAGTTAGAGTTTTTAGTTGAGTATATATTTATAAAGATTAGAAATTTTGCTAAAAAGTGGATTTTTTCAATTATCAAAAAAAAAAAAAAACACAACATTATAGAGTGTATGTAATGGGTGGAAGAGTATCAAGTGTTTGTGCGCGTGCTTATGTGGGCGTGCAGTTGGCTGCGTTGACTCTGTACAATTGGGTTGACTTGACTAAAACGGGCACGTGAGGATGTGGCCAAGGGAGATTATATCAGCGCCGTTATCAATTTGGCCTTGAAGTTCACAAACTTTTCGCTCGTGGCGGCAACACGCTATGGATATTGACAGTAAGTTGTAATAGCACACAAGTCAAGCCATTAACCATTTAAAATGCTTACCAATATCAAGTCTTGTACCAGATTGGCCAGACCACGATTGGCTAACACAACGAGACGTGTCACTGGGCCGGGAATACCCTCGGTGTAACCATCTGCGGTACGAGTGCTGTCACTGCTAGCATCCGTGTCATCTGTGCTACTGCTGCTGGAGCCGCCGCCGACGCTATTGGCGGCCTCGTCGCCCTGCTGGGTCTGCACACTACCAGAGAATAGCTATGCGAATGGGCCACGATAGTGAGCAGGCAGCGGCAAGGACTTAAGCTTATCTTGTACTCACGCGCACCACATCCAGCAAAAAGTTACCGGAACCGCCGCCGCCGCCGCCCAAACTGTTGCCACTAGGCGAAGCTCCCGAACTGCCGCCGCTGGAGCCGCCAGCCAGACCAGCACCTCCGAAACTCAGGAACCTTTTAAATAAATTACTTATGTTTGTTCGAGTGCATTTTGAAAGGTTGGGGGAAACGTGAACAGAAGTGTGTAATTAGTTGAGTCTCTTGGGAATAATTTTAATATGTATGGGTTAATGTGTTTGTGTAAAAATCCAATATTTCTGTAAATTCGGTAAGCGCTTGTGGCTTCTCTGCAAGTGTCCTTTTTTTTATGTTTGTATTCATTATTTTGTTTGCCAAGCATTTTTAATACGAATACAACAAAATGCGAATGGGAATGGGAATTCATATAAAACCAAGCTTAAAGCAATCGTAATGCCAGTTCATAGGTCTCTCCTGGCGTTGCTGACAGCACTTGTGCCGCGCCGGACTACTGTCTCATATAACGCCCATATGAAAATTTGGCCAATACTTGGGCTTTAACTTTAAAATAGCGATAGTTAACATTCACAAGTACATTAACACTTTAAGACTCTCGCTATTGATGTGTCCATGTTGGACGCGTTTATTCATACGGACAAATGGGCAGGGCTTTGTCGACGCGTCTGTTGATGGAATGATGGAATGTATAATCTTTATGGACTCGAAAGCCTCCTAGCTACTGTAACACACATTTGCATAAGACCATTGCACATTTCATTCGATCGGAAAAAAATTGAAGTTTTATTTTATCGGTTTAGCAACCCCTTTGTACAGTAATATTGTGATGTGATAGGTTGGCCAATTGTGTTTTGTAGCTTTTTGTTTTAACTGAATTTGTTGTCGGATTTGCCGCTTACCTCTTGTTGCGATCATCCAGATCGGCTGTATCTTCCACAGAGTCCAACGACAACTCATCTATGGCCGGGGATTTCGATTCTGATAGCTGCAAATCGTTAGTGCTCAGCGCTTTGACATCGGTGGATCCAATGTTGCTGCTGCTACTGCTGGTACTGCTGCTACCGGTATTAACCGTTGACAGTTCATTGTTAAAGCTCAGCTGAATGGGCTCGTTGGACTTGAGAGGAATGGGAGCCTGGGCCACAGGTGAGCTTAGCGATTGGGCTACTGCAGCGGCTGCTGCCTCTGCTTCTTTCACCTGGCGCGCAACTCTTATGGTCTCCTCAAGTTGTTTATTAATAGCCGACAGATCGATTTTTGTATCGGTGGCACCGTTCTATGATCGGAATTGGTTTGCCCGTAGAATTGTGTCGCAGAATCGTTGCAACGGATTTCATTTGTATGGGCATTTGTAGCATTGTAAAGAATTTCGAATTTCGAATTTCGAGTTGATTATGTGCATTTGGTATGTGTGATACATTTGGATTCAGTGTATGCGTGTTGCGAGTTGCGAGTTGCGGTTTGCGGTGGATTGATTGGTTTGCGTAACACGGGATTTGGCGCAATGTAGCGTACGCATAGTGTTAAGTTTATGCATTCGTATTTGTTTGTGTGTAATATGTGTGTGTGTGTGTGTGTTTGTGTGTGTGTGTGTGTGGTGGGTTTGAAGTAGCATGAATACAGAGTTTGGTGTAATGTGTAGGTAAAGTGACATAGGTCATTGGTCAATGTGTGTGTGTGTGTGTGTGTGTGTTAATTTTTCGATTACATAATGTTAGGCAGGAGATTATTGTTATTTAAGGGATTGTTCCACATTTTGTTTGGCATTATGGGTTACGGGTTTGGCCAGTTTCGTATACGATTTTGTCATTCAAATATTTGATTGATTAATTGGTGATGAAAAAATGCACGTGCACAAATGCAATTGGTGTATTTTTGTATACATTTTACAATATTTTTCGATTTATAACGTTATTATATTGATTATTATATTTTAAATTGCAGTTGATGATATCATTGCGAAAGAGTTTTTCGATTTGGATATATAGATTTCATATCATTTTTTTTGTTTTTTTTTTTCAGTTTTGTTGTTTTAGGTTTATATTATTGTTTTTGGTTATTTGCACAAATCGAATCGGTTTAATGGAACATGAAAATAAAGAAAAAAAGATTCAAAATAAACAAAAAAGAAAACATAGGCAGATAGATAAATGGGCAATCAATACAGGAATATTAACGCCACAGAAAGCAAAATAAATTCTAAGCTTAGACCATGGATATCAGAGCAGCGACAGAGTGAAAATGTTAGAGAGAGCGTTCAAATATTGCGCTGAAAAAGTTGGTTCTCCAATAACACAGAACATCTCTACGCGAAACTAAAAGAACCTTTTTAAAACTGAGTACAAGATTTTACAGCTTATAGACAATTTATCAGATCAGGTATAGAATATAGTTAGTTACAAACTAAAAACGGAACTTGATTTAGTTTTACGTTAATTAATTTATAAAAAACGCATCATCCTCTTATTGAAAAACACTATTTATACATTACGGTCAAAAAAAAAAACAGAATACATTTTACTGTCTACAAGAAGTAGAAAATTTTCTATGGCTTAATTTGACATTGGAATTTTTAGTCAATCTAGAATATATAGAAGATAAAACACGTCTAAAATTTTCAAAAAACTAATTTGTAAAATTTAGAATATTTATCTTAGTTGTAAAAAAGCTCTTTATCGAACAAAGCAAATGTTCACTGAACTTAAAAGAATCGAGTTGAGAATGCGTGTTTTAATGATACCGAAAATGCGAACGAATGATTTCCAATGTGAATACCCTGTGGAACAGTTGAATAATCGAAAACTAAATACTGTCATAATTGCATTCATAAACGCAATGGATGCTCATGCGAATGTTGTGAATACGGTCGTGAAATTCGTGAACGCACCCATGAATTATGAATGTTGATAGTGCACTCATTGGGCTTGAGCGAGGGCGAAAAATAATTTTTGACTACACTCTTAAACACTAAATTTGAGCTCAGCAAATTCAAACAATTAAAAGTATTTTTGTATTTTTAAAATATAGAAAATACACACAACGACTTTTACAATTAATACAAGTTAAATGTTAATATAAAAATCACCTATTATTTTAAGGAAAGGAACGTAAAAATACATAAACAAATTTTGTAAGGAGAGACATATAGAGAGAGATATATGGAGAGAACTGAAGATTGATACGTATACAGAGACATAGAGTGAGAGAGACAGCAAGAGAGAGAGAGAGAGAGAGAGATGGAGGGATAGTAATAGAAAATGAAAATAGAAACATTGAGGGATAGTTCGACAGAGAAAATATATTGAATGCATTAGAACAATACAGAATTGCATAAAAGTGCCAGTATTAATAACATCTTATATAATTTTGTTTATAGTATATTTTCTATTTTGCCGGATTTCAAGTAATTGTGAATGGCGCGGTTAATATTTTTGTGTTTAGTTGTTGTTGTTGTTGTTGTTGTTGTAGCATTGCCAATTTTCGTAGCTGTTTTGAAAACACGGAACAAAATTTAATACAGATTAAAAGTTGTGCCAATTTATATGGTAATTTTGAATGCATCGCTTAGTTGTTGTAGCAAATTACACGCACATTTTACTTTCGACGAGTGGCGCCCTCTGTGGTGGCATCACTATTGGATGCGGTGGTCGTGATGCTGCTGCTCTTCTCATTTGCATCAACCTCGTTTTCATTGTCGGGCTCAAAGGTGGGCAGTTCAATGGTGACTCGTGTGCCACTTGCGCTGCTGCCAGCGGTGTTGTCGCTCTTGGTCTTCTCATCATTATCATCATCATCATCATCAAAGTCTGCATCGAAGGTTTCGCGTGCCGCATTCGCGCTATTGCCCTGGATGGCGGTGCGTAGAACAGTTGGACCTAAAGTTCGCAGCAGCTTGGAGATGATGCGGTTCGCTTGCTCATCGATTTGCTACAACAACCAGGTTTCAATTTAAAGTGCGGTTTGCGTTGGATTGTTGTGGATTGCGGTGCGTGTGCATTGGGTACAGTTTAGAGAATGGTTAGTTTATTTAATTCTTTTATCGTATTATTATAAGAATTGTGGGCGGATTAATATTGCGGACTGGGTACTGACTTAGGACTACACATACATAACGAATTTGGCAAACGCGCAAAAAAACCTTAAAGGCTATTATAAATGTTAATGATTAGTTAATTGACAACTAATTGCTTTCACCAATAGCTTAGGTTATTACAAGAAATTAATGTTTGTTGTATTGCGATTCTGACTAAACTATCTTTAAAACCGATCCCTGAAACAGCATTGTCTGCCTAAATATCATACATGTATTGTTAATGAAACAAGAAATGTTAACTGAATGGAGCCTGAAGCACTGTTGTATTTGTTGTGGTTGCTGCTTGCAGTTCTTGATGTTTGTTTCTTGATGTTCTTGTAATGCACTAGCGAAAATTTGTTGAGTGCTCTATATTTGTCTCATTTGCTATTAATCATAGACGGGCAATAGTTTCGTAATGTTGTGGTTGTCAATTGTTGTCGCCAATGTTGTTGTTGTTGGCGTTGCAAGAGATGTTGTTGAAGTTGTGGTTGTTGTTGTTGTTGTTGTTGTTGTTAAATTATCTCTGGTTGTAATAAAATAATTGGTAGAGTTTAATAATCGATTTATATCGGCTATAATTGTAAGTAATTGTGGTTCTTCGATAATATTGTTGTTGTCTTTGTTTTGAGGATACTGGGTGGAGGTTGTGAATGTTGAGGTAGGTGCTAATTGGGAATTATCAGTGGTTGTTGTTACACTCGTCACTTCTCTTGTTGTTGCTAGCATTTCAGTTGCAACAGTTGCAGTTGTTGCTGCTGTTGCGCTTGTTGGCTCAGTGCCCAGAAATCGTGACAACAGCTCGAAGGGCACATCTGTCCCCATTGTTAATGTTTTGGTGGCGATTGTTGTTGGGCTTGGGCTGGGACTAGGACTGGTGTTGGTACTTGTTGATATTGAGGATAATGTTGATGCTGTTACATTTGCTTGGCTCTTACGCGCACTCACTTTGTTCGCTGATGTTTCTGCAACTGGGGCAAGTGTAGGCAAATCAATTTTGACCCGCGAGCCGTTGTCATCGCTGTTTAAAGCCCCATCAGAGGCTGGCGTTGATGCTGCAGAAGCAGACGGTACATCATCATCATCATCATCATCATCGGCAAAGCCGTCGTCATCGAAATCGGCATCAAAGCTAGTGGAGGGTGTCGTGCTGCCCCTCGCACCGCCACTGCCACGATTTCCCGCTAGAACGCTATTGAGCAGACCTGGCCCGGCTACGCGTATTACTTGAGCTATAATGCGATTAACAATCGAGTCGATTTCCTAAGAACGAGAGAGAGGTATGCAAAAAACTGTGACAGGCTTGCTTCCATCAATCCATCATGACTTGATATGATGATTTTTGTTGTTATTGTTGTTGTTGTTGTTGTTGGTTTTCTGTTTTTTTGCGTCCATGATTTGCTGCGATGTTGAGATGATATTTTGTTTTGATGTTTATTTTTTTTTTTGTTTGTTTATTTTGACTTGGTGCTGTTTTTTGGTGCTTGCTGCGGTACTTCTGTTGTAGTGGATTGTCTGGGGCGCTTTAAAAATTTGTGTACTGCAACATTGTGATTGGCCAATTGTCTGATGTGTGTGTAGTTGAATTCAATGTGCTTTTAATTACTAATTGGTTTGGCTTTGGATTTGTTTTGGTTTCGTGTATTATTTAAATAAGACGAGCTTTTGCAGGTGGCATGCATAGGTAGGTGGGCATGGGTATCATGGTGTTTTTTTTTTTGTGGGGTATTGAATACGTGCATAAGCTACTGGCAAGTGGAGTGGCATAGGTCTAGTTAAAGATACGAGTATATTGAGGCATGCAGCTTGATTGGGTAAATGAGATAATCAACTAATTGACGGAATTTTAAATAAATGCCAATATGCTAGCGCTTCATATTCTACGGGCTGTCTTTAGTTGTCCTTCTGATTGCTGTCAAAGTCCTCTTCGGGCTCAAAGTTGGTAAGCTCCTCGGGTAGGCTTTCATAGTCATTATCGATCGGTAGAACTGTTTCATTATCATCACTAGTTTTGCGGGGAGCACCTCCCGCAAAGGCGGGGTTTAGAACTGTGCCCAAGACGACAGGCCCAACGCGTTGCAGTATATTATTGACTAGACGATTGATTTGCATATTGATTTCCTAGGAAATGTTCAGGCAATACAACAATTAACAATAACAGAGCTGTATGCCGCTCCGAACAGCTAAATGGGTTCATTGGGCGTATCTATGTTAATATATAAATCAATATGGACGTTTCGCACCTAACCTGACTGATATACTGCTTCTGGGGCTGCTCTATTCTAGGTATTTTAGATTTTTATACGCACCTTTGTGATGTCGGGAAATAGTTCGCGCAGCAGTCCAATAGTTCTTTTGTTGCGATCGGCTATCAATTGATCTTGATCTTTTGCGCCAAGTGTCAAGACATCGATTTCCTGCAAGCAAACATATCTCAAATATTATACATTACATAATTCAAGTGGCACTGAAATACATATACATATATGTATATCGCGGCCCAAAACTGACCGCAATGAGTAAGCAAATCCCAAAGATAACAACCCAACAGCAAACTCAACAAATGACGAACTTTCACTTTGCACAATGAGGCAATGAGTTGATGATCTCGTCTTTGTGTGCCTGCCATTTGTAACCACGCTTCAAGTGCACATACACTTCTGATCGAAATCATGTACACTACCATAATGTGCCTCACCAGCAGATATATCTCTAACTGAAAGCAGCTATGCAAATCTATTTATATTTTAGCTGTGTTATTTATTTTATCCATTTACTCCATTTAATGTCGAGTCTTTCGTACAAGCAAATTGGGCAATATTCGACAAACCAAGCTAAAATTCTGTACCCATTAAAAATATGTAAGATTGGGTATTATAAGCGAACGCATTTCAAAAACTTTCTCCGTCTGGATTATCGCATCGATCGGAGATACTGTATTCACCAAATTTGCCAGAGAAGTTTGTGTGTTGCATATAAAATGCATTTAAAATAATTTATAGCTTCTTTCGTTCATCCTTGAGCATATTTCGGCAGAGAGCTCGAGACGCGTATCATGCATATATCAATAATAGCTTGAAAACTTGAAAACTTCTGATAGTTTTAAAGCTATTTATCGCTAAAGTGGGGAAGGCTTGCATTTTGCTGGTGGGCTTTGAATTCTCCTTAAGTCGCCAAGCAGCGTTTCCCTTTTTGTTTGCCTGATGAACTCGGCCTTAATCTTTTACTCATTCAGCTCTATTTATGCTCCCTCAATAGACTGAAGTCATTTTGCCTAGGGTTTGGACAACAAAAGGTGTTTAAAACTTGCCAAACTCCCGCAAAAAGTTAGACACAGAGAGTTAGAGAGACAGACAGAGAGAGATAAAGAAAGAAAGAGGTATAAAGACAGAGAGGGATACTGGTTAAATGACTATACAACAAGTTGTAAAAGGTAATCTTAACTGTGATTTAGCTAAGTCTAAGAAAATATTGGATAAAAACATTTTAAGTGAAGGCATGTAAAATGACTTTGGCAATCTACAGCACGAACCATTGGACAGTCAGTGCAAGCAACGATAATTGCACTTACCTAATATTACAATACAATTTGCAAGCATCAAAAATCTTATATGCATTCGCCACTCTTGGAGCTAGAGGCTTTAAACTTGGAATTTATATTCGGGTAAATTGGAAAACTTCGTTCCACGTAAAAGGAATATATCGATAATTTCCTACAGCCAAGCTTGGGCAGTTACAGTGAAAGCAGCCCAAAAGTCACAAATCGAAAAATCAAAATTAGCCTTTTGGTTGCAAAATTGATTTCTTGCGAAGCTTCTTCTCCAAGTAAGTGCATTACAAAGAAGTGCACGACCAGAAGACACCCTGCACCCGGCTCGTAGTTTAAAACCTTTGTAAACTCCAGAACCAATCCAGCTTTTTTCAATACATTTTACCCATATCATATTCGTACACATACACAAGCACGCTGTGAGGGGTGGGGCTCTTACTAAACCCTACACAAGTCACAAAAATTAGAAAACTAATTTTAAATACCAAAGAGCTTGTACCTTATTGAATGGACACGTTTGAATGCCACGTTTCATGAATGCATTTCTCATGTAGAAGAAAGCTAGAATGTTGGTACCGGCGCTTGGGCCTGGGCCTAGGGTATCTCCTAGTCTGGCATATTAGAATTAGTAGACGCCATCGCTGTTGTTATTATTGCCGGGCTAGTTGTTTTTGTTATGTGTGCTTATTTGTCTCAAAAGTCAGTGCGGAAGTCGCTGTATAGACGGGCGGAAGGTAATGCCAACGGCAACAACCACAGCAACAGCTATAAAGAAAGACTAACTTTTCTTAGTTTGGACAGCAAACTGTTTTGCCATTGTCAGCTACAATCCGCCATCCACTCACTATAGTGCATCGTCACCTCTCACTCTTAATGATCCATCAAATTTAAGCAGTTTCCCAACTAAGTGCGACAATTGTTAAGTTTTAACGAGGGAAGGAATAACTCTCGGCCCAAAGTTGTTTAATGAATTTCAAATTGGCTGAATTCACTCGCGTACAATTAAAACTTAGCAGTATATTCCAGGCAATCTTATTAAAGATAACACTGTGCATTTTAACTAGCCTATGCATTAATGCGTTGGGGAGGAGTCTCATTGTGACTGGGTACGTATACTGTATACTTAATAATACAGTGTGCACGAGTCTTGGGAAAGGCAAAATACTTTTTTCTTTTTTTTAAGTCAAATTTCTTTTGCTCAATTGAGGCAGGAATTGGTTTGCTGGTTAGCATTTTATAATTCGGAAGCTTACAATCCCTTTTGTAATGGATTACTAATTAATAGATTTGGAGATCCCGCTAAATCTATTCGCCATAATTGGTGAAAAACTATTGAAGGGAATATCTTTGTGAAAAACAAAGAACAAGCCATCTTACACTAATATTCAAAAAGTGAAAACTGAAACTGATTTTGAACTAGAAACTACACCTACTACATTTATGATCCCATTTTCACCAAGAAGAACTTTTGTTTTGAAACACCTCTCAAATGAATTTAAAGAAGAAGCTTTGACCATGAGTTGAGGCCGATGGGAGACGGAAGGCATTCCTCAAAAACCACCTCCATTACACAAAGTTAGAACTTCAGCTTTCCAGTTCTTATGGCTTGAGCTTTTAATTTGTCACAAATCAGGCAATCAGTCAGTCACGTTTATGTATTTGAGACACGTTTATGTATTTGAGCTAAGCAGCATTAAACAAACACGTTTATGTATTTGAGTTAAGCAGCATTAAACAACAAAAACTCGGAAAAGAATCAAAGTGGCTCACAGCTCACAATAGCAGTCCACAAACCTCAAACAACAACAACAACACAAAATATGTATTAACAAAAAAAATATAAGACTTGAAAATAACGTAAACGAAACATTCGATCTAACGTAAACATACACCTACATATTGTATATGCACATACTCTAAGCAGGGGCACTAGAAAACAAGTAAGAACGCTGTGCTCGACTACAAAGTACCCTGTGTCCCGGTTTGAATTCTTGAAATCATTAAATATAGCAGAATATGAATATCGAATGCGCAACTGTTTAAATAACTTAAATGCGGTCTAATTTTAATAAAATGAGTGAGGCATAAATATGACATTGAAATGTGTGTAGCTTTGAAAATATTTTTTGTTTTTGTTTCTTTTGTTTTAACGTTAGGGGAACTGAAATAGATGATCTAGTTTTGCTTATGTTTATAAAATCGCTTTGACAGATGAACATGGTTTAAATTATATATATTATACATGATAATGCGCTCGCCTCTTTCTGCCTTTAACATACAATTCAACCGTTAACACTTTAGGTAATTCTTTACCAAAATTTTAAGGTAATCATGGCCTATTTTTATGGGTATATGGATTGTGTTAGGCAACAGGATGCATCTGTGACCTCATTTGCGGTCAGTCTGTAGAGTCGGTCAGCATTAGGATAGTTTGAGTATAAGTGTGAGTGCGTAGATCTATAAATTTCTATTTTGCTTTTAAAAAATGTTATTAGCTTGGTAGACCATCTTCATGGCCATCTTCATGTCTGGTATTCCCTATTGGAGCGCTGTAACTGGTTTTTCTTTCTGGATGTACAAAAAAACGAATTTCCGATTGGTGTTTGTTTAGGGTTTAGAAATTGATAATGATTTGCAAAACTTGAATATTACCAAAAATATATGATAATAACCAATAATAAACTTTGATATAATTAGTGCAACTTGAAAATGGGGGTCATGGTAAAAATCCCAGCGATTGAGACAATTAATTTATTTAATCTTTGGCACTCTGACGATATCAAATCTTATCTTATGGGCACTAAGCGCATTAGCATAAATTCCAATATATGCATTAATCTGTGTCTGCTTGGATAAGTTGTTTGACCTTAACCAACTTAATATATTAACATATGCAAATGCAAGAGACAACGCCGAATATATAATACCCTAGTTGACATTTCAAGTTTTATGAGGATGGCTTCAAAAATAATCGACAACATTGTATAAAAGCAGACAGACGGAGACACGGAAATGAATAAATCGAATCGTCACGAATGTTTATACTCTTCGGGGTTGGAAAGGTGTTTTATATGCGTAACATACCTTATGATAAAAATAAAAAAAATAATAACAACAATAACAGAAAAGTTTGTCGTCCAACTTATTTTTCTTTTTTGATCTGAGGAATACGATAAGGATATGTAAGAAGCATGGCTGCTGGTGTTTAAGATTTCTTAAAGATTTCTTTCTTATATAAAACTAAGACTTAAAGATTCCACGAATACACCCCCAAACTGCCGACACAGAAGCTTTCTTTTCCTTCTACTTATAAAAACATACGCCAAAGGAATAGTTTCGGTGCTTTTAGTCCGATCTTTGAAAAATTCAGGATACCAAGGGTATAATAATAAATATGCCTAGTGCATCGAAGGAGTATATATATTTTTGTTATTTACGCGTCTCCTTGTGGGCGTGGCAAAATTGAAAACATTTCAATTCAAAGCATGCACCCAGAACAGATTTAAAATGTTTACAAAGGCTATGGATGGATCGATATTTGGGGCAGAAGGATTAATCAATAATTTAATCGAATATAAAACAAAAATAACAATTCTTCACAGAAGTGAAAATTTGTCTGCCACATTTAAATTATTGATTAATATAGATTTTAAGAGATGGTTTTTTCAACCAAAATTCGAAATTTGTATATTGTATATTGTAATGTATATTGCCCACCAATTTAAGCCACAATTTAAACGCAATTGACTTTTTGAGAATACACAAATATTCTATGGTACAATAATGTATGGTACAATAGTATACTGTAGAAAATTTCATTAAGTTCGGAAAACTAAATTTTTGTTTCACTACGAAATTGCATAGGACGCAAATTCCAAGAATATCTGTATACATGTACACTTATTCATGAGCGTCTGCTTTGAATTCTATCAACATCATTGCAATATTTTACTTCGTTTTTTCTCAATTATACTTAATTATTGGTTTGGTTGTTGAGAAGAGGCATAGCAAGTGGTACGACCTGTCGCCTATTTTTATTACTTTAAACGAGCGCATAGCGCCAGCTGCATGTGGTGTTGGATTAAGTTAAGAGTTCAGGTTATTCCCTGGGAGTCGGGAGCTCCCGACTAGAGCCTCTTACTTGTTTTTAATCATATTTATCGGACAATTAAAACACCAATGTGACCAATGTGAATTTCTAATATTGGAACGTAATCTGAGCGTAAAACGGTGTGCGTGCTTGTGCACATGTTATCTAGAATAACTTTAATGTCTGTTCGGCATTAGCTCCAAGGTATCTCACAGTCGGGCACACATACTGGTACACTCTTGTTTTTATTTTTTGTACTCTCGAAAACTACAACTGCAAGTAGTTTTGACTTAATGACTGACTAGCAAGCGCGTCTCGTTTGCCACTTGAAAATGCAGCTACCAACAAATTGTCTGCCATAACAATAGCAGCATCAGCAACAATAGTAATAGTTGCGTGCTAGTTGCTACTACTGCGTACTGCCGACATGTTACAACGGTAACAACAAATTGCAATTGCCGTTGCCACCGCCGTGCACAACGAGTATTGTGTGATGTGTATTTGTTTGTGAGCTAGTAACTGAGAGATTATATAAGGCAGCTGTAGCAACCATGAGCAGTTGCTGAGAAACTAGACGTGTCTGTGTCTGCTGGGGGCAATCCCAGATAGGAAATTGTGTAATTGTCTGGTCTCGTCTTGCTGCAGCTGCTGTTGCTGCTGCTGCTGGTTCTGCTGTTGCCGTTTAAAAGCCACAGCGCTTCAATTTCCGTTGTAGCTGTTGTTGTAATATCATTTAATAGTCGGAGAAATTAAAAGAAGGTAAAAGAAGTAAGCGTGATCCAGCCAGAAGTGCCCGACTAGCAGATACCCCGCACCCAGCACCAAGTATTTGCGAACATCACTCACACACATTACAAGCGCTGCAGCCCTGAGTACATATGAATTGATCTTTGGTGCTTATCGCCCGATCCTTAATAAAATTTTAGGGCCCAAATATGGCGCCACCTTTGACGATTGAAAATGGACAGAAAGGGTAAAATGGTTTTTTAAAAATGTATGTGAAAGGCAGCATCTCTGACCTTATAAGTTTCGATAGACATCGATATCGAAATTCTTTAATTTTTGTCCGAATGGAGAGAGGTACTTTGAAAGTGATATATACATAATCTGTGTATCTGATAAGTACAAGACGCAACAATTTTCTTATCTAGCTCTTATAAAATCCGATTATGGTCAATCTGGCCAAGCCTGTCTGTCCGTCTTGATGAACGCGTTGATATGAGAAACGACAAGGCCTAGAGACTTGAAATATAACACATTAAGGAAAAATAAGCTAGAAGATTCGCTTATGTGTATATGTGTGTATGAGCCTGTGTATATATCACATGTCACAAGGTAAACTTAAATATAATTAAAAAAAAAAAATATAATTACAATTGAAAAATATAGTTTGGGTGAGCTCACCTTCTGCGTCGTGACCACATTTGCTTCTGCACAAAGTATAAAGCATATTGCTGCGGAGTTAGAGCTTTGATTTGATTGTTTTTGATTGCTCTGACAGGGGTTGGCATATTTCGATGATTGCATTGGTAATTTTGGGTAACAAATCAGCACATAACAAGCAATTATACTGTGACCCAGGTGTTAATTACTAAGCTTACTATGAAACAAAGTGCAGTTGGCTTTGATAGATGCAAAAATATCCGCTGGCAGTTAATTTGTGTGATTTCGTTATTCAACTTTTTAAAGCGAATTTGAGGTGCAATTAAATTCTTTAACTTATATGGAAACAATATTAATCTATAAAAAGACTCGTAATTCTTTATGTTTTTGGGAGTTATTAAATAATTAAGAGATTGCACATGGACATATAGGCACACAGGCAGACACGTAGCTAGCCGCATGGAATTAAATTCGTTTCAAGAGGGGCTTGTGGGGATTGGGCCAATACCCAAGCCAGGCCAACATGCCTGGTCTAGAGCGTGCCATGGAAACTGGTGACTAGTGTGCCAACTTCCTTGCAATTGGTGTTGTCCAGTTCGCCAAACTGGTCACACAGGTTTTTGACTTTATCGGCATACAGACCCCAAGACCTGAATTTTCTACAGTTCCAGCTGTTACCGAAAAAGTAAAAGGAAAATTTTTTGTCAGCTTGACAAACTCGTTGGACAACCAACTCCCTAAATCACTCGCCTTCTCATCCGAATGGAGATCTGCCAAGGAAGTTTACAAAAGGGTAGCACAAGCTTTTGTAATAAGCAATTGGGTATGTTTAACGTTTGCAAAAAGCAACAGTAAGCAAATGCATATAAATTAACAAGATCCTTGCGGACAATCAAATGCCCTTGCCCTACGTCTAAAACCAAAGTGCGAGGAACTGTTCTTAAAGAAATGGTGGAATAGGGAAATTTTCGCATATCGAAAATGCTTAGTTTCCCAATTTCAGTAATTATTTGTAATTGTAATTATTATAATTATTTATGTACAAACACAAGAACAAGAACACCTCTCGTAGAGGTAGCTCTTGATTCATGGGTTGTCGAATGGTACAGACATTCAAAATACCTCACTTTTTCTATACATATATCGCCCCAAAATAGTAAAAAGAAAACGTATTATTGCAGACTTAAGCTTGGGCTTTGGAATTAGCACACATTTGGATGCCATCTTATGTCATGTCATGAAAAAATTGATAAAGATTGGCGAATAAGCATGATGATAAGAAAATGCAAAGGCTTGTTAAGGGAGACCTACTTAGAATGTTTTCGTCTTTCCCATCTTATCAGGAACCTCTTATTATGAACCCAAAATGCAAGTTTGCAGCCTTATACTTGGGACACATGTGGTTTTATTTCCTAGTTACGTCTCCCTATTAAGCTGTAGAGATCTGGATCTGGCTACAGTATATCTTCCATTTTTCACTTTTCGGAGCCCAAAAAATTATATGTAGTTCAGGTCAGTAACGTCTATTCTCACTGTTGTAGAGCTATTGGCATAAAACTTTGCATCATTTTTTTTTGCAGGCAGTGCAGTGCGGCTCAGGCAGCTGCGACCTAAGTGTCGAAACGTGTTGATTTAAACGAATTTGTTCTAGACTTACCTTTCCGTTAGTCAAAGGTATTTGAAGCACATCTAATTCCTGATTGCCTGCGGGATGTGGAAGAGGACTCGCGCTGATTAGGCAAAGGCTGCTGCAGAGGATCAGCGTCAGGATGTGCTGTGTGCTCGGCTGCCACATTTTGTTGTTAAGAGTGTAGTGCATTGGAGAACCTACAAGATAGAAATGCATACATGGGCACACTCAATAAATATTAAACAATCTGATGTTACGCGGCTTTGCCCGGCCCGAAATGTTTGTTTCTTATAAATTTCATTAGTTTTACACCGATCGAATAAGAAATTCAAAATGTTGCCGTCCGCACGCTTTCACAGGTTTACGCAATTTCACGCATTTACCGATTAAAAAAGAATAAAATATATATAACTGTATACATTCTCGATCAGAACGTCAAGCGAAGTCGATCTAACGATTTCGATTTGCCCATCTAATAAAGCGGAAACTAAAAGAGCTAGAAAGAGGCGTATTTCGAAATATGTAATATCGCTTAAAATAACTAGAACGAGTTTACTTTTTTCGGCATCTCTCTAAACATCGACAGATTCCAATTTAGAAGCAAGCTTGTTTGTGCATATCTCGGTAAAAATAACAGCAACAAGCAGAGATCCACTAAATTTGACTTTTAGAGTACCGGTGCTAATATTCAAATTTGAATACACACATTTTAATAGGTATATTCTAGCGCTTGAGTTTGCATTTAAGCCCTATAAGTTATTCAGCTTGCATGTATTTATCGTACAAATTCCAAACGAACGGCCGAACGCTAGCCCGGCGTTGATTATAGAGTATGCCTTAGTCGGACACTATCGAAACCCTAATTTGTTTCTTAAACATTCAAAGACTAATATTAGTGTTTTAGTTTTTGCTTGGTATTTGGGGGTCGGGCCAAGGTTAGCAGATACAATCCGCCCATTTGGCACTGATTTTTGTAATTTTAATTGTGTATATAAAATGGATATTTGAATTTGCCCGGCCCATGTTGTTTTGTGGCTCGATTAGGAATCTCTTTATCGTGTGTGTCAAGTTTGAATATTGAATCTTTCTTGGGCAACATGTCGTATGAGTAATGCGCATTATGTGTGGAAAGTGTGCACAACAACTAAAACAGCAATAGCAACAGAGAAACAACAACAACGGTTAAAGCAATTTTTAAATCACAACAGACAAAGCAACAACAATATACAAAACGCTGCAATAAGAATTATGTAATTTTATTTAGACAGCGCAGACGTCAGCAGAGGCATCGACGTTGACGGCGACGGCGACAGCGACAGCGGCGTCGACAGCGTTAAGCGAGTGTGCGTGTGTGTGTGTGTATGGATATTTGAGTGAGCGTGTAAGCTTTTAAGCTGAGTTTTAGGAAATTAGCTGGAAATCAACAAAATGGAAAAGCTTAAGTCTTAAATAGACGGTGGCGAAAGGGAAGTATACAGATTGAAACTGTGCGAAATGAGGCAAAACAACAGTGTCTATCCCGAAAACTGTAGCTTAAGTTTACGATGAAAATATATAAGCTAAGAAGATTGCCCTTGTTAACTCATAAAAATCGAAACCAAAAAATATATTGTACTTAAAAATGTACAATGAAATTGATAGAAATAAATATACATTTGAAATATAAATAAAATAATGGACGCTAACTGCTGTCGGTCAGATGAAAAGAAGGTGACATTGAGATCAGGGTAGCTATTATAGCAATTAACTTGTTTAAAAAAAAAAAAACAAAAAAATCGTGAAACCATTGTGATAAAAAACAACTTGTATACACGTGTCTTTCAGCCAGCTAACGTTAACTCGTAGCTTAATACTTAAACAGGTCACTAAAAGCAACTATAAACCGAAGTTTTCAAGTAGCCATGTTCACTATGGCCTTCGACTAACATACATAATGGTTACATCCGTACATTGGACCGGAATTCGAACCCGGATCCTCGTTGTTCAGTTGCCCGTATGACTGGGTCACTAAGACAACTCATCTATCGGTTACTGCGATATACGATATACGATGCGATATACTATATACGAAGACACTTTTATTAGTTTATTATTAGCTGTGCATGGTAACATGCAATGACGGCCAACGGTCAGCGACTATTAAGTAAGGCGTAGCGCCAAAAACCCAAATGAAAACGAACAAAATGAAAAAAAAAAAGAGGCAAGAGACAGAGACAGAGAGCCCGAGAGAAAGAGAAGCCAACGCCGAAAAAACTGGGCGGTGTAGAAAGGGAGAGTGAAGGTTGTCATCACCAACTGGACAGTGTGAAGTGTTAACTGTGAGAGCTGTCAGAAACCGGCAATAACAGACAACGCAGCCCGGTTGACGTCTTGGGTTGTATAGTTATGTCATCTGGCAGTGGTGGCAGACTTGGACTTATGCTTGCTTTTACTTTTCACCTTGTCTGTAGTAGTTACTTTTGGTAATTTTGAACCTAGTCAAAATATAGATCTGGCCTTTGGCCATTACTAGTATACAAATAAATATATGCAGCGTATTGATATGATTACTTAAGACCTATAAAATCAGATGGCATTGTGTATTAACTGTATGCGCATTAATTTTAAAAGGCCAGCATAATATTTAATGATTTAATGAAAGAGTATCCAAAAAATGAAGATAGAGTGTTCTAGTCGAAAGTACCCCAACGGGAATCACCCTGTGCTCAGGTCAGAGCTACTGTAACTATTGTTTAATCTCCACTTTACAAATCCATAAACAAAAACAAACGGCGCTAGCTGCGCAGTTTACGCAGCAGCAGTCTATAAGTGGCATTACTGAATAGATTTGCTATTGACAATCCGATTCTAAAGAAATCTTCTTAACTGTGTACGCGATAGAAGCTGCAAACAGCATTTCAAGTATATTGCGCTTTCAATATCCCCGATTTGCTAAAATGCTTCTAATCGATATTTATCGATTTAGCAAGCAAAAACAAATTTGAACTTTGTACGATATACGACAAACACTCATCAAAATTTAATGTCTCTATTTAGTAGTTTCCTAGATCCTTATGCATATTTGCTCAACACTAAGTATTATAACTCTTTTCACCTATTTTAAAGGCGTACAATGTAAAAAGGAAATCAGAAAATGAACTCTCAGTAGCGTTATGCCTGAAGGTGATTGTGCAATAGGGGAGTGGCTCAAATGACGCTGCAAACTTTTGCCATAGTATGAATTTGGCGCGATCTGTAGTCTCAAATTAATGCTGAAGCCGCTGCTTCCTGTCATTGTCCACGTACACATCTAAAATTGTCATTTAGTGGATCTCTATTACTAACTCATACATAACGAACTGCAATTAAGGCATCAGCCTTGCTTGGATCAAGCAAATCGTATAATGATGCGATCGTGCCATGGCACGATCGTGGATTTCAAAAGAAAATGTCCAGTATTAGAGATTAAATAATTTTATGTTGAACTATGCTTAGACAACCTTAATAAGAGTTAAATTCAGCCATTCAGCTATTTAAGTAAATTGCTAAGACTCGAAACATATAAATGAAATTACTTTAAAAATATTTCAATCTAAGGCTAATCTTAAACACAGAGATTATCAGATCGTAAATATCGGTCGCATGCTGTGTTCCTCACCAGCGGTTGCTGTGAAACTTTGTTATTCTCTTCAATTCTTGCTTAATCTGATCAGAAGGAAAAGTGTGGCCGTATAGGCACTAATGGACATGACTAGGTTGATTAAGGTGTCGTGCCTGTCTGCTACGTATATGCGTCTTACAAGGTCTAATTATACCATATGTCCAACTGTATGAGAACGGAGTATGCCAAAAAAACCAAAGATAACAAAAAAGAAATAAGTTAATACTTGAGCACACAAAACAAAAACAGTTCAACACACGCGTTAATTTTGTTTCGATTTTCACCAAAAAATAGGCACAGCACAGAAAAAAAAGTGTAAACAAAAAAATTTAAAAATTGTTTAATATAAAAAAAAAAAAAAACATTCAGTTTAATATTTCGTCATAAGTTTACAACGTTTCATTCGTTACTTTTGTTTGTTTGTTTTTTCTTTTTTTTTGTGTTTTTGTTATTTAGCGTGTTTTGTTTTAGTTTTGTTTACATATATTGGGGTTGATTTGCAGTACGAAACTTGTGGAATTTGCGCTAGTTGCAACTTTTTTGTCGGCTTGTCGGCTGTTATTGTTGTAGTTGCACTTGCATTTGCATTAGCTGTAGTGTTTTTGGTTTAACCTAACTCAAAAAACCGTATTGGACTTTTCGACTATAAGCAGTGTTATGTATTGTATATATGCCTAGGGTATATCCTCACGTTTGGTGCGACGGCGACGGGTAATAGCGACGGGTAAGACGACTACGTTGAAGCTTTGTTTTTGTTGTTTAAATACTATATTTTGGTTATGGTTTTTTATATTATACGTTTTAAAACTTTTTTGGCTATGTGGACCTTTCTGCAACTGGCGCTGGCTATGCGGTCTTGGCTGGTGGGCTTGCAATTGATTACTAACGTGATTTTATCATACACTAGCGACTAAAGCTCGAACAAAGCGGCGAACCGAACAAGTGACTGCGACGCCAGCAGCGAGCAGTAAGCACCACTAGACGCTAAGCGGCTGAGCAGCGGACGCTAGCAGCTGTTGCGGCCGCTGCTGTTGGCGTCACTCGCTTAACGCCTTGACTGTGACGTTGCACTCAAAAATTAAAAAACGAAAGTGAGTCAAAGCCAAAGGCGGCCGTGTTTGAGCCGAAGCTTTGAGTCAAATCGCAGCCGCCTTTTGAGTGCAAATGCATGAAGGCTTTGGCGTATGGATCATTCGCGAATCTCTTTGGCCTGTTTACCAGTCACCCAAAATTTCCGCTTCATGGCTGCAAATGCGCACTTAGTCTGACAGTCCGACAGTCCGTCAGTCCGTCAGTCCGCCAGTCTGTCATACTGTTAGCGGGCTGCAGGCAGGATTAGACTTACACAATCTGTGCAGCTGTACCCATCTCTTGAATTTTTATTGAGCTCTTCAATTTAGTACACGTACAGGTCTTCTTGAAGTAATGCTCTGTGTGGTAATAATCGTTAGTTTCAAGTTGCGTTTGCCGTTTTTTTTTTCTTTTTTTAAATTGATTGCGTTGTAGTGCGTATCCTCACTAGCATATTCAGTTACTCAACCGTTTGGGCTTAACAAT